TTTATGGCATTCTATCGATACGTATCCCGAGGAGATCGCACGTGCAGCGAGATGCCGATACGCACGCGAACTGGTCACATAAGCGCTTAGATCGTTCGACAGGGACATCGCCATGGACAAGATCGAACTGGCAGCCTACTCCACGAAGGACACTGGAAGCGTGGTACTGTTGCGGAAACAGATTCCAAAGTTTGGCTCAGGGGCACCGTAGCGCTTATACATGCGAGCATTCCCGACATATATGTTAAAGGCTGCGCCGAATAGTCAAGCTGCCCTCGGTGCCGCAGGCGTAAATTTGAAGTGGGAAGAACACTTGACCATGATAAACGACCCGCCGCGTGCATCCTGACAAACACCGTCTGCGGGCATCAGGCCCGCTCGTAACAGATTCGATTCCAGAGCAGATTTGGTGATTGTGGGTTGGAACGCTCAGGGAGTTCCGAGTCGCCAGGCTGCAAAGTGCTTCGAGTTGCTCGAGGGAGAATTCAGATGGAACGCCCTGTGCCTGCAAGAGTGCACCAATGTGCGGCGTGATGCCGCTGCTGACATTTCAGGCCGCGCGATTTTCTGTGGTCCTCCTACGCGGGGGCTCACGCGGAGGAACGCGATTGTAATCCACCGTGAGTACAGGGCCTGTGTCAGTAGTCTCCCAGTCTTTTCCGATTCAGTCGTTGCCATTGCGTTTCTCTCCTCTGTCCTCGGCCCCCTCTGGCTGATCAGCAGCCGCCTCGAGCCGTCTGATTCTAGAGCGCGTTTCTTCAGTGATGTTGACCAGTTGCAGTCTTTGGTTGACCAGGCACCCAGGGGTCGCGCACCTAGGGGCCCAAGGTCATATTTCCAGGCACGCTGGGCCTTACGTTTCAGGCGAAGCGGGGTGGAAGGGGCACCTCGTGCGCGAAATCCTTTTTGTAAATGATTTGACTGCGGCGAACGCGTGGGAGCAAGGTGGCGCGTGCCAGGCCACCTGCTTCTACAATCATACGGTGGAGCCGCGCCAGATAGATCATGTCTTTGCGCCTTGCAGTCTGCCGCAATCAGCCTATTCAGTCAGCACTGGAAACACTAGTGCGTCGAAAAGTGATCATTTACCGCTTTTGTTTCGGGCTTTCGGAACCCCGAGGCCGAAGTTTGTTTTTGAGCCTGTGGTCCAGTCGCAGTTCACGTCGAAACCTTTGGCGCGGATTCAAACGGACCTCACGATGAGTAGGCAGTGCGACGAGGCACTGGGATTAGATGTCCCGAGCCCCTGCACGGCGCCGAGCTTCAGATTGCCCTCAGACGGTCATTTCAAAGCAAGAACGGGTAGAGCCACACAGTGTGGGTGGGTTCGTAGCCCATTCCATCTCCCCCCATGCTCAGTCTACGTGCGAGAAGATATGCTTTCAGGCATGCGGTGCAGTGGTTCTGGACATCACAAATCCCATGTATCTTGGTGCAATTCGGCTGACCAGCAACGCGGCTGAACTGGCAGGTGCAAGTGAGTCGTGCTTGTGGCTACTTGCGCAGGCCCAGGGCAGTGTCCAATCTACTATCCCCCTCGGCGCATGCATCAAGGTTCTCTTTGACTCTGCCTACGTTCTCGGTCTCATTGATTCTAAATTTACACCTAAGCACAACGTCTTGATGTCTGAGGTGTCATCATGGCTTTGGGGGCAGGTGAAGCGGTTGTTTGAGGTTCGGGCCGTGCGGGTTACAGGACACCAGGGGACCGAAGGCAACGAGATCGCTGAGAGTCTCGCCAAAATCGGAGGCACGCCCAGCGCCAGGAGTCGACGCAAGTGGCGCGCGAAACGCCCTTACATTCTCTGGAGCGACATGCTCTCTACCCTACCCTCTCGTCTACATGTTCGTGATATGCCACGGGGGGAATGCGTTTTCCTTGCCAGTGTGAGCCCCGACAGTTACCGCGAGGTACGATCGGCTTACGCTCTGTTCAGTGCTGCGCCTGCGGGCTACCTGCCACGGCAGCGGAAGACCGCTGCAACGCGCCGGTTGGGCCCCGACACTTGCGAGGAACCCGACGGGGCCATGGTGTTGAGGAGGAGGGGTGGGATGAGTAATGAATTGCCGACTTTATCGTTTTTTGTTGTTGTTGTTTTTTTTTGTGCGAGGGCGGCTGCGACGACGGCGGTGAAATGCGGGGGGCCTAAGAAGACGACGACGCCCACATTGCCAGAAACTCATCCACAGGTTCAGTTGGTCAGAGAACTTCAATCCACGCGAGACATGGAAAGCGGATCCAGTGCTTAGACACCAAGTAGGGCATGCCTTGGTCTCGGAGCGACATGCTCTCGCGAGACAGCATGCGGATCTCCGCTTGACGGCCGCGTTTGCGAAGAAGGGGTCGATCAAGGAGAGAGGAGTGATGATGCAGGTGAAGGCGCTGGAGGGGGAGGAGGGCCGACTTACGACGGTTCACGACGAAATGCGACGGATGGTACATGCATTCTACACTATTCTATTTTCCGACCCAGAATACACACCAATGCCAGAGTGGATTCATCAACGGTGGACGCGAGCGGATCTCGCGAGTCTACCACCTGTGAGCGCCCATCTTTTTGCGAGCACTGCTGCAGCGCATGAGGGATGGGGAGACTTGCTCGAAGGGCGATATGCTGGTTGCAGAAATGTAACACACATTGAGTGACGACGCGTTAAGAATATTAGCGGAACTTTACGTCTTGCGCATTTTGAATCACCCGACGGAGGAGGTGGAACCTTTGTGGGACCGTCACCAGGTCATTCTTCTTCAAAAATTCTTCGGGGCGAAAAAGGTGAAGGATTTCAGACCGATTGCGATCCTTTCGGTGTCACTTAAGCTTTATTTTATGGTTTTGGGTGTTTTGTCGGGACTAGCGGATCAGACGTTAACGGAATACCAGTTTGCCAATAGAAAGCAGCATCAGGTGCATGACATAGCATCGAGTACACGCCTGCTCGTGGAGCGAGCGAATGAGTTTGCCGAACCACTGTGCTTGGGGGTTTGAGACCTCCACAAGGCTTTCGATATGGTCGACCACACGGCATGGATTGCCATGCATGAAGTGCGGAATGTTCCGCGCGTTGTGACGGCCGCGAGAGTGCGGGAAGTGAGGAGAGGTGCATCCAGCATTTGTATGACAGGACTGGACCCCACGGGCGGAGTTGGTCGAACCAGGTCGATACCCCAATGGGACCCTGAGGCTCCAAGGGGGTTCACGTACTATCTTGATGTGGCGGTGGAAATATTCGTGGGGATATGCAAGAAAAGCCAATGGGGGTACCCTCTGGAGGCGGCGGATATTGCGTGTCTTAGGCGGGGGAGTATGCAGGAAGGGGCCACAAAGAGGAAGATTCTTCGAGACCTCAAAAGACTACCAATCAGGATTTTTGCGGACAGCTATTTCTTATACGCCACTAGCTCGCGGATGCTGACTCCGTTTGAATCCCGGCACGAAGTAGTCAGGAGTTTGAAGTGCGTTGTGCATGTGAAGGACTGCTATTGGATGACAACAGCGGCGGACGATTCAGCAGGCACTGTCTTGGGGAGTTTTCGGATACCCAGGATATCTCGAAATGGGGGTTTTAGGTGTTTGGGAGCTTGGATCACTATGGACCATAACGCGACGAGATGTGTGCAGCGCATGTTGTCTAGAGGGTGGGCGGCCTTTACACGCCACCGTGCTGTATTGTGTGCCAAGCAGGGGAAGCTGGCACGACGATTGCAACTGTTAGATAGTTTTGTGAAAAATGCAGCGTTCTTTTCTTAGGCGACAGCTCAGACAGTTCAAAGTCATGCACTGCCGTATGATTAGACAGATGTTGGGGCTTCGGAAAGCCCCCGAAGAAACGGTTCCAGATTTCCAGAGACGGGTGAACAGGAAAATCCAAGATACTATTGATCGGCATGAGGTGGTGGCTTGCGACAGATTCGTTCTCTTTCAGACGCACAAATGGGCAGGACACGCTGCCAGAATGCGAAGGTACGGACCGACACGTATTTTGCCGCAGACACTGGACTACAAGGATATGCCTTGCCTCGACCGCATAGTGCGCGCGACGGGTAACCAAGGACACGGACGGAAGATCCACGCGTGGAGATGGGAAGCCCCTTTTATTTTTGTATTATGGATTGCAGCGGAGGGAGGTTTGCGATGATCAGGAGAGGTGGAATAATACGGCGGGTGAGTGGGTGGATCGGAGGTTACATGTGTGGGGTGCCAGGCAGCACAAGAGGCAGAGGATCACTGAAGGAAAATGGATACATCAGGTGTTCGAGCAGGACGACTTTCTTTGTTCTATCCCCCCTGACGGCTACGAGTAGACTGTCTTGTTTGTTGTTTCCCCCCCCCCCCCCCCCCTGCGTGGCTCCCCTTACTTAATTTTCTTGTAGGCCCAGGCCCAAAGGCACCGAACTCCGAGAGGCTGTGTCTATCTATCTTCCCCATGTTTGTCCTCCTCCTCCTCTTCCTCCTGCTCCTCCTCCTCCTCCTCCCCCTCCTCCTTTCCCCATGCTTGTTCTCCTCCTCCTCCTGTTCCTCCTCCTGCTCCTCCTTCTCTAGGTTCTCCAGGCCCCTTCCCTGGGGCCTGCTCTCCGTGCCGAGTCTTTGTTTGGCGGCCCCGGGGCTTCGCAGGGCTCCCCAGGGGCTGAAAAAAAAACAACAAATTGCCTCTCGCGCTGGTCCCTCCTCCTCCTCCTCCTCCTCCTCCTCCTCCTCCTCCTCCTCCTTTTGGTAGCGACGCGCCACAGCCGCGCTCGCTCCGCGACAGTCTAGGCCTCCTAGATGGCGTCCGAGCAGATGGGGTCGGAGGATCGCGCCACATCGCCGATGCATCGACGATGCGGCTCGATGTGGAGCCCGCGATTCTTCACGCCGATGCGTCGCCGATGTATCGCTGACGCATCGCCGATGCCTCGGCGATGCATTGGCGATGCGGCGCGATCCTTCGACCCCATCTAGGAGGCCTCTAGCTCTCGCTCCACGACGGCCGTTTTTGGCCCGCTTCTCGCGCCGCGAGAGGCCCTGGCGGAGCTGGCTTGGTCGGGCGTGCCGCAGGGGCTCAGCCGTCGAGAGGTATGGCAGCTGCTGCTCGGCTACAGGCCCCTGGGGGTGTGGTCGCGAGGAGGAGGAGGACGAGGACGAGGACGAGGACGTGGACCTGGACGAGGACGAGTACGAGGACGAGGAGGAGTAGGAGGAGGAGGGATACGATAATAAGGAGGAGGAGGAGGAGGAGGAGGAAAAGGAGGAGGAGGAGGAGGAGGAGGAGGAGGAGGGGGAGGGAGAGGAGGAGGAAGAGGAGGAGGAGGAGGAGGAGAAGAGGATGCGGAGGAGGAGGAGAGGAGGAGAGGAGGAGGAGGAGGAGGAGGGAGGAGGAGGAGAGGGAGGAGGAGGAGGAGGAGGAGGAGGAGGAGGTTGCAGTAGGAGGAAGAGGAGGAGCAGGAGGAAGAGGAGGAGGACGTGAGGTACTATGGCTTTGGGCCGCCTGAACCCTGTTGGTGGGCCCATCAGCTTGGAGGCGCCACCTTGTAGGGCACGGTGACCCGATGTAGCAAATGACCTGGGGCCATCTGGGTCCAGGCCGCACGGACTGGGCCAACGAATCAAGAGAGCCTGGGCGCCGTAGCCGAGGCACTGCGGCTCCAGCGTTGAGGAAGGGGAGGGGGAGGAGGAGGAGGAGGAGGAGGAGGAGGAGGAGGAGGAGGAGGAGGAGGAGGAGGGTGAGGAGGAGGAGAAGGAGGAGGAGGAGGAGTCATGTAAACCCAAGACACATCAACGATGTTGCAATGAGCCCTCTCTCGAAGGTTCCTCTTCATGAGGTCCCTACAACAATTGATTGTCATTGCGGGAAGTGCTCTATCGTGTCAGAGAATCGCTCCTCAGACTCAACACCGGGGGTCGACGTGATTGTTGCGTCTTGGCCATCCAACATAGCGCCCAGACGCCATTCCTTTGACTTCAACCATGCAAAAGTTTGGAATGGATGCACACATTCAATGCGGATGTGTGTGGCACTATAGTGAGAGCCACATTTTGAAATGGAGCCGCCTTCCATCTTTCAAGCGGATGCACGTTCAAGACGAATGCACGCGACGCTAAAGCGATAGTCACATGCTCAAATTGGCCCGCTCTCCATCCTTGAAACTGTTGCACACCTTTAAGACGGATGTGCGCGGCGATACATCAATCCTTGAAGCTGTTGCAAATTCTAAGCTTCGGGGTCAGAAATCGTGAGGGAGTCTCCGACACGCCTGGTGGTGCGGCAGAGAGGAGTTATTAGTAAGGAAAAGAAATGAAGCAGGAGAAGGAAGAGGAGGAGGAGGAGGAGGGGGAGGGGGAGTGGGAGGAGGATAAGCTAAGCGCGCTCGCGCCATATCGGAAATCCAATCTCACCCATCCCTTCCCACTGCACTGATGTGTGTTATCCTTGCGGACGATCATACTGGACCTGGAATTCGCAAATAAGACCGCATCGTGTTATGTGCAAGCGGGAAGTGGCAGCTCCGTGCATAGGAGAAGGGGAGGAGGAGAAGGAGGAGGAGGAGGAGCAGCAGGAGGAGGAGAAGGAGGAGGTGGCGGATGAGCAGGAGGATGAGCATGAGGAAGAAGAGGATGAGGAAGGCGGAGGACGAGGACAAACAGCAGCAGCAGAAACTGGAACGGACGGGGCGGGAGGAGCAGGAGGACCAAGGGAAGGTGGAGGAGGGGAAAGGAGGGGGACGACAACGATGAGGAAGGACTCGAATTCCACGCTGGGGCGATAGCGCCATTCTGGACGACGGGGGCGAAGCCCTGATCCTAAAAGGAGGTCCACGCTGAAGCGGGAGCACCATTTTGGACGGACCGAGCACGCTCGGATTGAAAGCGCACGCCAGAGACGCCCGGCGGGGGTCGCGCCACTCCTTGGCCATGTTCGGGGGAGAGAGAAGATTCTTGGCATCGCTTGGACGTGTGAATTTTTCTTGTGGCGAGGACCATCGAGGAGCATCCTTGATCATTTGGCGAAGAAGCCACGCACGAAACCGAAAAAAACACAGGGAATGGCCGTCCGAGCGATGGCCAGGATTGGTACCCGGCTGCCTGCGGAGACCCTGCCGCCGTCCCTGTGCAGCAGCGCAGCACGAAGGAGACCGAGTGCAGAAACAGCGCAGTCCCGACGATTGGTTTGGACTCGGCTTCGGCTTCGTGGACGCGGCCTCGGCTTCGGCTCCCGGGGGGCGGATGACGGGGGGTCGGTCGGGGCAGCCGCGGGGGCCGTGGTGCCCGAGCGCGGCCGCGCTGCCGGGCGGGGCGGCCCTTGTGGAGGCCGAGCCAGGTGGGCCAGTGGGCCGAGGAGGTGGCGACCGCCGGCGTCGTCGTCGTCGTCACTGTGGTCGTCGGCGGGAGGGGTGCGGAGGCGGGGGCGGCGGAGCGCGGGGACTCGGCTTCGGCTTCGTGGACTCGGCTTCGGCTTCGTCCGCACGGCAAGGGGGGAGGTCGAGCTCACGCCTTGTTGCAGTGCAGCGGACGGTCTGCGCTGAAGCGGGTCGTGGGCTCGACCTCATCTGCGGCCGCCCGGCAGGGAGGAGGACGGGGAGAAGGATGAGCAGACCTGGCCTCTCCTCGTGCAGCCCGTTCGCACGGTTGATATCATCCGTGCGGGCGAGGCCTAGTTCGCGTGTTTTTCGTAGATCGGCTCATGTGGTGGCGGAAGTGGCCCCGATCAAAATTTAGTGCGGCACCCACCTCTGAGCAAGCTCATCGGCAGACCTAGGCCGGCGTCAGGCTTGGTCGCAGGAGGATGCGACACGATACGATACGAAAGCAAGTGGGGCCATGTGTGTTCCTTGTTTGACTTAGCTAGCTGCACTCGCAAAGCGAAGCTCAGCTGCAGAGGTCGAGGCATCCCAACATCATACGGAAATTAGGGTTATGCACACGTTCGGGCCTTGTGCGGCAGCACCTCGCCATCTTGCTCCTTCGAAGCGCGGCCCTGCGGCGGCCGCGTAGACGTTGTTCGGGGAGCTGGTGCTCCACCCCCTCGCCCACCCCGACGTTCACGCCCTTTCCCGGCGGGAGGCCTCTCGGGGGCCGTTTTGAAGCCTCGTGGGGCCGTTTGTGGTTTTTTGGCGGCCTCTTGGAGCGTGTGGGGGGCCTCTGTGGGGCCTCTTGGGGCCACTTGGGGGCCTCCTGGGGCCTCCTGTGGGGCCCGTGAGGCGAAATATTTGTTTTTTCGGTTAACACTCCCCTTCTTGGGCCCTTCTTGGGGATGTTTTTGGGCCGTCTTGGGCGCCTCCGAGGCCGTCTTGGAGCCCCCTTGAAGGCAGTCTGGGAGCCCTCGTGGGGGCCGTCTTGGGGCGGTCTTGGGGGCCTCTTGGGCAGTCTTGGGGCGTCGGGTGCTCGAAGGGTCGTCAAGTCACGTCTGGTCGGGGAGGAGCCTACGGGGCCCCCTTCGCCCCGCGAGCGGACCACGGAGGGCGCGAGGCGCTGCGGCAGCGAAGCGCGCGCAAGAGAGAGAGAGAGAGAGTCACCACCTACCAAACCACCCCAACCCAACCCGAAGGCCCAAATTTATCCTCGATTTCCAGTGGGGGGGGGTCGCGGAACATCGAAAAAACACATGGGATCCGTACCCCCCCAACCCGAAATTCGGGTCGAATTCGGGCCTTCGGGTTGGGTTGGGGTGGTCTGGTAGGTAGTCAGAGAGGAGTGGCCGGTACGGTGGGGGCCCCTGCCAAGAAGCGCCCCGCTGGCCTCCAGGGTGCCCTGGGTTTCTTGGGCCTCGATTGTCTTGCTCGTCTTCCAGCGGGCCAAGCGGATAGCTTAGTATCTCCTCCTCCTCCTCCTCCTCCTCCTCCTTCGCGTCCTCCTCTAAGATCTTCCATGTTGTGAAGATCGCCACGCAGAGAGGCGCTCCGGCGCCACCTGCAGCACCCTTGACGGTGCCCACGCGCGGGAGTGTGTGTGTGTGTGTGTGCTGTGGAAGGCGTGGCGTTCCCACACGCCAAAATCAGTGGCAGCCCTGCAGTCTCAGGGTTGGGTTTCTTGTGGACTGGCCTCCACTGCACAAGCAAGATTCATCGCATGCAAGCGTGCCACCGCGTACGGTTGAGGAATGAATGCTCCACTCGCTGCCAAGGGAAGGCTGCTGGCTGCGGACAGCATCCATGAGGCTCGTGCCGCGCTCGTGTTGCTGAAACGCGTCTACATTATCTGTCCATCGACGCCGTGGCCGACCGCGACGTCGGGGGCCACCTGGGCGCCATCGTCTTGCGCGGGCCATTCTTGCGACTTTCTGGTGGCAAGTCGTGCCACGACGCGGCACGTTGAACGGTCCATCACGACGAGCCAGTCTGACACAGGGAGAACTTTCAGAGCATCTCGTACTTTTCGCTTGCATCGTCGCTCCGTTTCTTCCCATCTCTCGCCAGGGCTGAAGCCGACTATCCGACGGAGCATTTTTGAACGAGCCGATGTATTCCTTGACCTATACTGTGCTGTCGTGGTGGTCGCCGAGAGAGCGTAGGCAGCAATGGGCGTAACCACAGCGTCGAAAAGCTTCAAAGGAAGGCGCTTCATTCAAAAGTACTGCTTTGTGGGAGTGAAGTTCTCCCCATGCGCACTGCATGCGACAGTTGACATTGCCTTCTGATCTGCACCGGAAATCGCCAACGAATTTCCTGCCGAGGTACTTACTGAACACCTGGGACGTCATGACAGGCAATTGGCAGCCGGCAAGCTGTAAAACGAGAGGCTGTTCGACACTGGAAACAGCAACGTTGTTAGTGGAGATCCGAATCTTTGTCTGCATTCAGTGACAGGCCGGACGCTGACAGTTCTTCCGAAACAATGTCCAGCATGCGAATAATTTCCGCAGCGGAGCGTGCTTAAAGTAAAATGTCATTCGCGTACCGCACGTTGCTGAGCACATCGACGCCTTCAAAGTCAAAGTCACACTGCTGAGCTCGTACGTTGAACCTCCGAACTGCGTGCTCTAAGCCGGCGTTGAAGAATAAGGCTGGCAAAACGTCAGCTTGCGTGACACAACGGGCAATGTCAAAAACAGCGTATTGCCATTCACGACCCGATCGGGAATTGTAGATGTTTGATAAAAGCCACA